GACTAGAAGGCTCGTTGGTTGTACAAAATAATTTAAAAAAAAATGGATAATGACTTAAAAGGGTAACATATTTTTCGATTTGTACACATTTAATCACTAAGTTTTTTTTCGTCCATATTTTACCATTGAACTTGTTGAACTGTTCAAAAAACATCCTTATGACTTGTTATAGGAGGTTTAGCCGGTTTTCCGGCGTTCTTGTGAGTTCCGGCGGGACTCCGGTCATCTTCTCCGGCCAAACATGAATTTTTCTGGCAACTTTGTCATCTCCAGAAACCAACAAGTTTGAAAGGTTCCAAATTCGTGGGTTTTTAAGGAAGAAAAAGACCATAGCAGATCTGGTAAGTTCAACACGAAAACCATCAGAAACCATCAGAAACCCAAGAACTCATATTTCGATTTCAAAAGAAGGAGGGATGTGAAGATGAAGGGGCTATGAAGTTCAACATGAAAACCATCAGAAACCCAGATCTAGAACCATTAGAAATCCCAAAGCTCGATTTCTTGTATGAACTTGATTTCAGATTTAAGTTCATGTGTGTGTGTGTTTTTAGATTCGAGTTTTGGGTTCATAAATCGAAACGAGAAAAAAGAGGTTTTTTTATCAGAAAAATCAAACGAAGATGTCTGGAGATCTGAAAATCGAATGAAGAGATTTGGGTTTAAACTCGAATGAAGAGATTTAAAAATCGCTACAAACCTTAAAGATCATTTGATTTCAGATCTGAACACTTCTGGAGCTCTTTTTTTTGGGAAGAAGATGAACATGATGAAGACGAACACCTTCCTGAAATCGATGAACACACCATGTTTGAAGGTTTTCAAGGGAAGCTTCGAGCATCAGATCTGGGTTGAAGACAATAAACATCATATATGGGTTGGAGGTTGAAGATGATGAACATCATATATGGAACAACTCTCAGATTTCAAAACACGATGTAGCTTCAAACCCATTTTCCAGATCTGACCTTCAAATCGATTTCATCCATTGAGTGTATGTCAGATCTAACAAAACAAGCAGGTGTGTGTTGAAAATCATTTCCAAATCATTCCATGTTGTTCATCAGCTTTGGTTCCAAAAATCTGATGAATCTGATGAACACACATATAAATTCAATTTCTAGACACAAATATGACTATGAAACTCATTTTCAAGGTTGAAGTGGTTGAAGGATTTTTGGGTCACTGGAGAAGATGACCGGAGCCTTGCTGGAACTCACAAAACGCCGGAAACCGGCTAAACCTCCGATAGCAGGTCATAAGGATGTTTTTTGAACGGTTCAACAAGTTCAATGGTAAAATATAGACAAAAAAAAAAATTATTGACCAAATATGTACAAATCAAAAAATACATTACCCTTTTAAGTCATTATCCCTAAAAAGAAATTAAAAAAACACAAAAACCCACGGATGGATATGGTCCACCAAACATATAGTTGGCATGTCCACCAAACATATAGTTGGTCTCCTTCTCTCTATGTGGCACTTCTCTATTTCTCAATTTTCCTTTTAATTTAGTTTTTTTAATATATTTACTTTACCAATAATTAAATTATATATTTGTAAAATAAATAAATAAAATATACTAAAATATAATTATCTACAAAATAATATCCCTATTAATATATTTTTCTAATAATTTTTTTAAATCTTTTTTATATAAAATATTAGATTGAGTTTGGTTGGATAAAGTTGTTAATGAGTGTAAAAATTTGAGGTTAGTTGGTTGTATAGATGGAAGAAATAGAAATTATTTTTTTGATAGATAGTTGTGTTGAGTTTGGTTGTGAATGAAGATAGTCTAACAAGGTAAATCAACATATTATTATTTTACAATGTGTTCAAATATATATCTTATATAATCATTTGATGTTTAATGCAGGACTATCAATATATTGATGCATCGACTTTTATGTGTAAATGTTTTGAATAAACTAAACTTCATCATTGCATGTTGTTGTAATTTATATATTGTAAAACCAACTATGAACTTTCAAATGTATATTCAACTTCCGTTGTATTATTCGACTATGCGTCTAGGTAGAAACTATATGTTGAAATAAACTATCCAACATAAAACAATCTGCCAAAAGCCCGTAATGAACTAGCTCGCGCCTAAAGGAAACTAATCGTCACATTAAAACTATCTGCCAAAACAAATTATTCGCCGTCCGCTGTTTTGCGCGGGTAAACGGCTAGTGTGTATATATATATATATATATATATATATATATATATATATATATATATATATATATATATATATATATATATCTATATATATATATGGGGATAGGAAATACACATTATAGCCCTACCTAAGCTTAGATATTATACCTCTAAATTATGCACTTTTATCTTAGTAAATATAACCGGTTCAGCTTTTACTTGGTAAATATACAATTCTCAATTGCATTTCTTTCCTATATTATCGTTTAACCATCAATGTTTTATTTCCTCCATTATCATTTATTACTTCATGTCAGTGAACATTATTGTTTTCCACCATCATGAAGGTCAAATATAATTAACATTTTTACTTTTTTTTGAAACGACAAATCTAATCTACTCCTAAATTACACCTTAAATCCACCTATCAAAATTATTGTTTCAATATTGAACCTGCACCGTAAAGTGTTAATCATGAATCCCCTAATTGCAATCTTTATCTAAAAAAACGACATAGTTTCACGAGGTTTAGTACCTAAGCTTAGGTGGGGCTGTAATGTATATTCACTTTTCGATATATATATATATATATATATATATATATATATATATATATATATATATATATATATATTTATTATAGAAATTGGAATTTTGAAAAATAGGCTTTCTCTCACGGTTTGATTCGTTTAATTTTCTGGAAATTGGGAATATATCCCGAAACATTTAATTTGATTGAGATTAGTCATTAAATCTTTGAAATTTTCCATCACGCATCTGGGCTTGAAACTTAGGCTAAGGGTAGTGGCCATATTCAACCCACTAAAAAGGTGTTGTCAACTCAACGCCACGTCAGTTTTACTACAAGCTCACTACCGAACCACTAGCATTGGAAATGTTTACCACTAGCCCTTTGAAAATTAAACTATTTTTTTTGTTTTCAACGAATTAAAAGAAAAAGAACAGCTCATATATTTGACCGTTGAAAACTTGTTTCCTTCCCATTGGTTCTTCGTCCGTCTTTATGGTCACTCCACAGCCAAGCCACTAGACACCAGGGCGGTGTTCACGCATGACACTACAAGGAAAATGAGCAGATTGCGTGCGTTTTTTTATCTGCGAGAGCCTTTAATTGCGACAGTTAGGGATTTACCGACGACAGGAGTCGATAGCGGCGACAATCTGGAGGGAAGGGTACCGCGTCATTTTTTAGGTAACTATTAGCGGCGACACAAATGTCGTCGGTATTAGGTTTGTGCGGATAAGGGACCCCAACCGTTGGATTAGATACTTGATCGAACGACTGAGATCTATCAGAGGGGGAAAACGCGGATTCGGGTGATAAGCTTTTAGCGGCGACACTATTACCGGCGACTTGAGCCTTTAGCGGCGACAAATGCTAGAGTCGCCGCTAAAAGGCCCTATCGCCGGTAATAGTGTCGCCGCTAAAGGCCGATATTCTTGTAGTGACTTGGTTGTCCACCTAGGCATTCACACGTCTTCTTCCCAACCATTCCAGATAACCTTATTTTCCACATTTTTTTAATATATTATAACGTTTCTATCGCCATTGAGCATTTAAAATTTATAAAAATGATATTGTGGTCATAAAAATGTGTTTTGTTTAGTTTTAGACTTTTAGTCATATCTCGATAAGCGATGGAGATTTCTTGACATTATGTTGGCTATCATGTATAGAGATAATTTCGTATATGCCATTTTCAAACATTAAAATATTATATTTATCAAATCTAATTTTTAAATATCATATTTATTATTTATAAACTTTAAAATATAATATTTGCTCAAATCCTTATTTTTATCATTTTTAAATACTTTATAATCAATTTTTAAATACTTTATAATCATCTGAAAATCTTTATTTTTTTTAACGAACTATTATACCACTCTTGTTTTACATGCATTCGTTATCTAATGACCTAAAGTACTCCTTTTCCCCTTGTTTTCATTCATCGTCAAGGTTAATGCTATGTAAAAAACTCATTCAAATTAATCACCTACGATTGTGAATATATTATATGTTTCCACCGGAATTAAATTTTCTTAAATGTTCCACCAAGTTTCGTTGGCATCATCTCAATTTCTTATTTTGTACTAGTTATCACTATTATCGTCTAAAATACTCTCTTCAAAATTTTTTGAGGTTACGGTGCAATTTTGGTTTCTCCATGGCTCCCTTATCTTACTATAACTTTTAAATGGAACACTTTTAACGACATATGTGCCCTTAGCATTGCCAATATTTTGACACACGGAAATTGCAAATATTTTGACAGAAATTGCAAATATTTAGGGTTTGATGCTAATATTTGATTTCAAGCTGAACTATCATGTAAGCTTAACATTTTACTTATTTCATAGCCACATTTAAATAGATTGATGTGCTTTTTGAATTGTGCCCCTGCGAGATTTTATAATTTCTTATTTTATTATAAGTTAATAACATAAGTTTCTCAATATCGATTTTTAAAATTCTTTTCCTGAAATAAATATTCATATAAAGAACCAATTTTAAGATATACTTTTCTAAAGGTTATCATCTTATAACGCTAGTCTATTATATCATTTCCTTTCATTTTCCACTCTAATTAATTAATTGGAATATAATCAATATATGCAACGTGATTTGATTAAAGTAAACCATCCGTATACTCGAGGGATGACAAGTTGACAACAAAAACTACTATTATTCTATTAAAACTTAAAAGCAACATATTAATCGTGAATTTCATGCTTATATAATATAGTATTTCAAGAACCTAGCTAAAAGTCTTGCCTCTATACTTTGAATTGAACCTCGCTCGCTGAACATGGGGACCAATGGAAGAGATGTTACCACTCTCCGGTCAACACATCAGACGGAAACTCGCCGGAGAATAGTATTGTTTCCCCTACCTTTCCAAGGTCATATCACTCCCATGCTTCAGCTAGCAAGCATTCTTCAGTTTTCAAGGTTTCAAAATAACCATCATACACACCGAATACAACTCCCCAAACCACTCAAATTATCCTCACTTCACCTTTAAGTCCATCCCGGATTGCTTTTCCGAGATCCATAACCATATACCGGCTGACGCAGATGCCAGTTTTTACATTAAGTACCTTAATAAAACCTGTGCAAATCCGTTTAGGGAATGTCTGGCTGGATTGTTGTTGGAGGATTCCATTGAAGACTCTGTTGCTTGCTTAATCACAGATGCTGCATTCTACTTCACACAGGCTGTGGCGGATGCCCTGAAGCTCCATCGGTTGGTGCTGAGGACAGGCAGTCCTGTTTCTGCCCTTGTTAATGGCGGCTTAACCATTTTCTCAGAAAAGGGTTACTTTAACATTAAAAAAGAAGGTTGGCTCACCATATTACTAATCAGTTTCATTCATGCGGCATACTTCAAGAATTTGTGTGTGTGTGTATATATATATATATATATATATATATATATATATATATTATAAATGTACGTGTACGTACGTATCTATATATGTATAGCTATATTAGCTGGTTGGGTAATTTCTCTTCCACAAACTTCCGGTCAGAATTCAAGTGAGATCGATCATGGAAAATATAATATTGTTTATAAATAACACATACACTCTTAGTTATTGTTTATTATGAAGATAATCACTTATATATTTGTAACATAGATCTAACTGATGCAATTCGCTTGGTTTTGGTACTATATATAATGATTTCCTATTTTGTTTAAAACTTTTGGAACGTGTGTTAAAAAAAATTCTAACTTTTGAATGGATATTTTCAGATCCAGATTATGAAGCGTCGGTGCCAGAATATCCATTTATCAAATTCAAAGACATCGCAAAAATCACACCCAACCCACATGGTTTTAGGGACCTTATCACAAATATTGTTAGACAGACGACGTTATCATCGGGAATTATTTGGAATAGCTTCAAAGAACTCGAAGAACCTAAAGTGGAAACCATCTACCAAGAACTTCCAATTCCAAGCTTCATATTAGGCCCATTCCACAAGTACTCCTCAGCATCCTCAAGTAGCTTGATCGAACAAGACCGAAATATTCTAGGATGGCTAGACACCCAAGCTCCCAAGTCTGTGATATATGTAAGTTTTGGGAGTCTTGCACATATAACCAAGTCAGAGTTTGAAGAAGTGGCTAATGGTTTGGTAAACACCGACTTACCATTCTTGTGGGTTGTCCGACCAGGATTGATTGCTGATACAGAATGGGTCGAGTCCTTGCCTGAAATGTTCCTAGAAAGAGTGGGTGATAAGGGACGTATAGTGAAATGGTCTCCTCAACAAGACGTATTAGCACATCCAGCAACGGGTTGTTTCTGGACTCATAATGGCTGGAATTCAACGATGGAGAGCATATGTGAAGGAGTTCCTATGATTTGTTCCCCTTATTTTTCCGACCAACCAATAAATGCAAGATTTGTGAGCGACATTTGGAAGATTGGTGTTTTGTTGGAGGATGGTTTACAGAGGGTGGGAATTGAGATGGCACTAAGAAGAGTAATGATGGATAAAGAAGGAGAAGAAATGCGTGAAAGAATAAGTTGTCTCAAGGACAAGGTAAACCTCTCTCTCAAAGAAGGTGGATCTTCGCATAGGTCATTAGTGTGCTTAGTTAAATATATTCTATCCTTCTAACTTGAATTCACGTACTTGTAATTCATATGTATTATGATGGAGAGAAAAGCTTCATAGACCTTCATCTTTGGAGTATATATATATATATATATATATATATATATATATATATATATATATATATATATATATATATATATATATATATATATATATATATATTTGCAAACCTTTATAAATGATTTTCCAACAAAGAAACATGCCAAAATCTCATTTCTTATGTAAGAACCCGGTTCAAAACAAACAAACAAAACGCATTACACTTGACATTCATTTTGTTGGAGGAAATTAATTCGCTAAAGGACAAGTTTGGGTGTCACGTGTACTTTTTTCGACGTTAGTTTGCAGGTATCTTAAATAAAAGGACTACCAAACATATTATTTGATTAATTTCACTACAATATGAGTATTCGACCACCTCATGCTCCTATTGCGGAGGTGTAATAGATAAACATTCCTTCTTTAAGTATATTAGTTTCTATCTATATCTAAGTAGTCCTATAGTTAGAAGTTGATCATAATTCATTAGGTTCCCTCATCTATAAAGACACATTCAATCACAGAAGGATGTTTTTCTCAAAGTTGATTATGTTAATAGGTTTGCTTTTAAATCTTGATCTACGGCCTCCTTGTGAACCAAGTTTCCATGATTAAAGCTTTAATTTCAAATTGTATTGTTGTGCTATTTTGGTTCGTTTTAAATCGACAAACGAGGGAGCTTTAAATCACGATAATGCACGATTTTTATGTCTTACATGTCACTTGAGCTAAAAATGCTTTCATTGAAAAAGGTTGATCAAATTTTGTAAAGAGTGAGCAAGGAACTCGTTTATTTATCAGACGAGGGTAGCCCAACGCTCACCAAGCCTGGGGCCTTGGCCTTTTAGACACTGAATACGGAATAAGCCCTCTTCTTTCATGACTCATGCCCCTTCAAATAATTCAACTTGATGTTTTGCGCTTTTTAAAATAACGTAGTATCTATGGGCTATGAGCATTCAAAATATATAAAAACCATATTTTGGCCCAAAAATAATTTTTCAATGAGTTTTAGTGAACATAACTCAGGTGGACTCCCCCCAACTTCCATGTGGCAATACATCTGTCTCTCTTAAATCAACTGATCAAACACATCACATCCACCCCCAAACACACACCTATTTTGAGAAAAGGAAAGACGACCACCGTCCACCGTCATGTCCCACAAACCACGACCAAACCATGGTTCTGCATACGAATCGCTGGATCTCTATAATATATACATCTACTGTTCTTTACTATATTTTATCATGTTAGTTTAGTTCTATTGTTTGTATTTATATTTTAATCGGTTTAAATAACAGTTAAAAAGATTATGCGTATATCTTCATCTTCATCAGATGTGGGGTCACTTTATACGTCTATGATAATAGTTTATTATATTTGAAAATATTTAACATAAATTGATGATCCCCCATTTCTCAACAAGAGAAAAGTCAAATGGATGATCAGGTCATCTCCCCGCCCCCTCACATCATCGTCTTCCCTTCGCCACTTCAACGGCCAATAAACCCCATTTTTGATCTAGCAGAACTCCTCTGTCTCTCCGGTCTTGATGTCACATTTCTCCTAATCCCCTACACCCACAGCCTCCTCCTCCGCCACATCAACATCGAGTCCCGGTTAAATCCATATCCAAATTTCCACCTACACACCATCTCTGACGGACTACCACCAGATCACTTGGAATCTAATACGACGGATCTGTTACTCTCTCTTGAAACCCTGACGAAGCCGCTTTTCAGAGATCTTTTGACTTCCGGAAAGTTGATTTTCGACGAGCGTGGGCCTGTGAGCTGTATTATTTCAGATGGAATCATGAGTTTTGTGTATGACGTTGCTAATGAGATTCGAGTTCCTGTTATTTCTGCGTTGACCTTAAACCCTAGTTGCTTATTGCATCTTTCCAATCTCCCCAACCTCACCAGAGCAGCTGAAGTTTCTGATCCAATAATCGTAGGTAGGTTTGTGTGAATCCGTGAATTCTGTTGTTTGAAATTAGTTTCTTGTTCGCATTTTGAAGGTCTGTTTTTCCTCTTAATATAGAAAATCATGCGGATTCGATCATAAAACATGACTTGTTTCATCCTTTCCCGAAGCATCTAATAAACCAAATTCAACAACTTCCTCAATCCCATGGGCTCATACTCAACACATTCAAGGCGTTAGATGCATCCATACTCTCTCAAATTCGTTCCATTTGTCCAAACCTGTACGCCATCGGCCCGATTTACAAGCACCTAGGGTTCAGGCAAGAGGCCAAAAGAATGACACCATTGTTGAATTACTCCGTTGTACAAAACAACGATTGCCTCCTGTGGTTGAACTCTCAACAGCCCAAATCCGTTCTCTACGTCAACATTGATAATCACTCACAACTCACACGGGTACAAACCTTCGAGCTTTGGCATGGTTTGGTGAATAGTGAAAAGGGGTTCTTATGGGTACGACGGCCGGACTCCATAGCTGTAGAAGGTCGAATTCCGGCGAAGCTCATCAAGGGCACGAAGGAGAAGGGTTTCATTGTTGATTCGGCTTCAAATAACCAGGTCTTGGCTCATAAAGCAATCGGTGGGTTCTTGACCGATGGCGATTGGGACTCGACTCTTCAAGGCATAGTTGAGGGCGTGCCGATGATCTATTGGCCGGCTTCTTGGGACCAACGAGTAAATAGCAAGTTCATGAGTAAAACATGGAAGGTGGGGATGCATATGGAAGAAAGATGCGATAAAAATATAATCGAGAAAAACAATACGAGATGTTATGGGATCCAAGGGTCATGAGTTGATCGAAAATGTACATAAAATGAAAAAACTGACTAGAAAAAGTGTAAGCATAGGGGGATCATCCTATGCAATGTTGGATAATCTAGTAAATAATATAATCTCGATGCATCTTTAATAAATATGTTTATTTCATTTTATAACAACAAAATTGCAAAAATGGTCCCTGTGGTTGGCAAATTTATGTGATTTTGGTCCAAAACGAAATGTTGGTGCACCACTGGTCCAAAATTGGATATCTTGTGTAGTTTTAGTCCTTATGGTTATCATTTTTTGTGGTTTTGGTCCATATCCTACCTAAAATGACAATTATGCCCTTAATTGATTGTTTTTTAATTTTTTTAATTGAGTTCTTATTATTTTAATTAAAAAAACCATCTCTCTCTCTCTCTCTGAAAATACCCCATCTTCCTGTTTTTTAAACATAAATTTCCTCCATTCCCCTTTTTCCCTTCAAAACCTGCAACATCGCCCTGACCTTCACCTCTAAATCCCTCCCGATTCCGACGATGACAACAATCAACACACTCCTGGCTTCGGCAACAGTAGTGGGGATATAGTAGGTCACCGACCACGGGGTCGCCCTCCTTGTTCAAAAAACAAGCCAAAAGCACTGGTGATCATCACTAGGGAGAGCACAAATACCCTCCCCGACACACATCCTTGAGATAAATTGCTTCCGATTCCGTTCATTATAATCCTTCTGATCTCTCATCGTGGCTTGAATCCATGATTTCTGAGCTTAATCCCACAACTGGACCACCAATGATTGACGATTCGTTTATGAACACCAGCTCAGCTAGCGTCGACGCCGCTGCTCCCTCGTCGGGTTTAACCTCTGTTTTTGTGGACGATCTGCAAGCGATACCCGGGAACGCAATTTACCCTCTGACGAAAAAAGCAAAACATTCTCCTTCTTCTTCATCGGGTTCCACATCCGCTTCATCTTCGTATAACTCGAAGCCTGATCCCAACTCGAATCAGGTGGTTCCGATCTACATTTTTTAGGTCTAGGGTTTTCATTTTTGAGGGTTAGGGTTTCCTAATTGCGACAGATGGTATTGTAGAACGGTGATGGTATACGAGATTGATGGTAGTGGCCGAATCCATTCTGCAAACTCTAGCCCCGACTGCAGCTTCGACATATGAGTGATGTGTGTGTGTGTGTTATGATTTTCTGGCAAATTTCTGATATGTGTGTTTGTGTGTGTTTGGGGAAAAACATCACATATCTGTTAGGTTTCAAAAATCAATGGAAATAGTGAATATGGGTGTTTGATTGAAAGAGTGAAGATGGAAGATGAATGAAGAATGAAGCACTAAGAAGCATGTCCCCTCTCACTCTGCGTTTCAGAGAGAGAGAGAGAGAGAGAGAGAGAGAGAGAGAGAGACTTTTTCTCAATTTTAATTAATAAAAAACATTTGAATAAATACAAAAGAAATTAAAAAAACAAATATAAGGGTATAATAGTCTTTTTATGTTGATAGGGACCAAAAAACAATAGAAAGATCAAATTTTAGACTAATGGTGCACCAATATTTCGTTTTGAACCAAAAGCACATAAGTTTGCCAACCACAGGGACCATTTTTGCAATTTTGTCTTTTATAACATATTCAAATTTGGGTGATATTATCTTTGTTTTGTGGTTTAATAAATATGTTTGTTTCATTTGATTATAGATTCAAGTTCCAGTGATATTATTCTTGTTTTTTGGGAGATGTAATCTATAAATTTTCATTAGGTAGGATCATTTTCGTAAACTTTTAAACATATTGCATGTTTTTGTTAAAAAAATTGCATATAAATATTTTCTATAAATTATGAAGACAGTTTTTATAATTTATTTTCTATATAAGGTCAAACCTACCAACGTATATAATCTTAAACTTATGGATTGTTTCTATAAACAAACAACATGAGAACCTTTTCTGTAATTATAAGAACAATTTTTATTATTTATTTTCCGCACAGTGACCAAAATTGCTAACATACAAAAGTTTTATAGCCGAAGTCTTAAAGGTACGAGAGTCAAATAGAGCAACATCTTTCTTTCTCTTCAAACTTTTTCTCTCTACAATTGTGATGTGTTGTATGTATTGAAAGAAGAGAAAACTACTACCATTTTTTTAATGACTTATTTATTTTTTACTAAAAATTAGCAATTTTTTCAAAATAGTCTCTCAAATCGTAGACGATTAGAATCGTCTAAGGTTAACATTGGTTGACTATGGGCAACCTTTCGTTGACTACTCTTTCGGGCAATGAACTACTGTTTCGTGTGTCGTTTACTGTTTCAGGGTCCGTTAGTCGAGAATATATAAATTTTATAATTTTCCATTTTAGTCATTTTTGTGTGTTTGAAGCTAGAAAAAGTTTCTCAATGGAGCCTTAAATGAACAACCAAGTTTCTCTTTGAATCTTTGATTTTTTTTTTCTTGTTTAGGATGAGATTTAATAAATGGATTTTTTTAGAAAAAAAAATAACAAAACCGTAGGTTTCTTAATAACCTATGGTTTTCGTAAAAAACAATTTCATTTTTTTAACTCATTATAATATATACTAGGTATAAAATGATAGTCAGAATTCATGAATTAGTAGTCAAAATAATTAGTAGTCAGTTTCTACCAAATAGTAGACAAATACCAAAAAAAAAAAAAAATAAATAAATAAAAGTAAAATGTAGACCATTTATGGTCCATGTCTCTACGGTTTGGGATATATTAGATCGGTGAGAGGAAAACGTAGACCATAAAATGGTCTACGGTTTTGTTTTGCTAAAATGGAAAAAAAATTATATACGTAACACGAAACTATAAACCATTTAGGTGAAATAGTAGACGATTTTAATGGCCTACGGTTTCGGTGACTATTTTTACACACATGCGAATTTTAGTGGCCAAAACAGTAGACCATTTATGGTCTACGCTTCTATGGTTTGGGATATAGTAGATTGGTGAGAGAAAACGGTAGACCATAAAATGGTCTACGGTTTTATTTTGCTAAAATGAAAAAAAAAATTATATACCTAACACGAAACCGTAGACCATTTAGGCGAAATAGTAGACGATTTTAATAGCCTACAGTTTAGGTGATTATTTTTGGACAAATGCTAATATTTGACTAAAAACTGAAAAGTTATTAAGAAATTTGACTAAATTGGTAATTTTCTCTTAAAAGAATCAAAATTAAATTAAAATATAATTAAAACAGTTTTATTATCTAATCATGTTCTTAAACGAGAGACATCCAATTGGGTTCTTTCTTATTTTTTTAATCACTAAAATAGATAAATAAATACTAAATTTTCAAAAATTTGAAAGAAAAATGAAAGATAAATACAATAAGGGTATTATAGTCATTTCAATTACTAAGGGACAAAACCACAACTAAAGTTGGTCAAAAAAACCACAAATCCAAAAAAGTTAGGGTTTAGATCAAAAAGTCGGAAAAATACATACGACTTAGACCATTTTTACAGTTTTGTCTAGTTTTTATGTGTGTTTGTCACGAAGTTTTTAAGAGCTTTTGGCAAAAAAAATTTAGAAATAAACTCAAAAAATTAAAAATAAATAAATAAAAACTTTTTTTTGGTAGAATTAACTTATAGCTTTTATTTAAAATAAAAAAATTCGGATCCAAAAGATACTTTAAATAATTTTGGGTAGCTTTTTAGCTTTACGAAACTTTTAGTTTTTAGTTTTTTTTAACAAATTTTACACATTTTAAAGCTAATAATTATTTTTGTCAAACATTTATGTATAAATAAAAACTACAACTTACAACTAGTTTTCTCAAACATGTCCTTAGAATCTTATTTAAATTGTACACCCATGCTTCATTCTCCGCCACTTGGTCCAAAACATTGGCTTGTTCATCTATAAGCATAATTTTTTGAACATTGCTCTTACAGTTTTTGCAAGCCGGGTAGTACCATTGATGATTATCTTCAAACATCTTAATTGTACCAAGAATTAGAACATAACTTCCCTATAGTAATAAGCAATGATAGTGAATGAGGAAAATCAAGTAATAGTAATTTAAGATTTAATAAACTAAATATACTTCCTCTAATTCATGGATTGCAGAAATTTGGTAGAAATTATTATTTTTAAGAAAGTCATCATGTACTATATACATGATGGAAGACGATTGTAGCACGAGAACTAGAAGAAGTTGCTCCACTCTTTTTTTCATTCAAACAGTTTACAAATAAAGTGTAAGCATAATATCAATAAAAAACATATTTAGTTTAATAGTAATATATAAAGGATTTGATTGTAATGTAATCAAACTTCTCTTTGAAATCAATATTTTCTTCAATTTGCTCATCAATGAATAGCTCTATTGCTAAATATGTGTTATTCACATATGCACACCCTTAAAAAGAAAATGAAAAAAATGTTGGATTATATTATTTCTTATATTAATATTGGAATTGATAAAGATAAAATATTGTATTAATAAAAGGACCTCATTAATTCTTCAACTTAACACATTGAATAATCATTACAAAATTCTCCCGGTGTTTGGATACATAGGAATCAATTTGTTCACCATAATGTCCCCACAAAGTAGCAAACACTTGTCGTCCCCTAAACGTATATGAATTAAAACAATAATTTTAAAAATAATAATAGCAAAAGTCATAAAAGAAACATACTCTAAATTTCCAATTTCAATGTAATTTTTTTTATCCAGTTTGTTGTTTGCAGGTTCCAGTGGATAGCATTGAAAAACATTACCGATGACATATATAATATACACGATACAAAATGTTAGTATATAATTAGTGTTAGGATGGTCAAATTATATAAACATATTATAAGATGTCAAATGTGAAATTAAGGTAATAAACTAACCAAAAGAAATATTGGAAGGGATTGCCGCATCGATAAGATCTTGGAAGTTTGCAAAAGCGATGTAACATCTTGTTTTGAGGCACTTTCATTGTTGACCATTATATTGAGGTTTATTGCATATTCGTCCCTAAGTAAAAAAAAGATTGCAAAAGGACCCATTGTGGCATTTTGGTAAATTAAGACTTTGGGAGTACGCT